CCTGGTCAAGCCGGGTTCAATTCCTCCACGATTCCTCCACAATTTCTCTGCGATTCCTCTGCAATTCCTTCGCCCCTCTCGGAGAGCCCGGCAAGCTATGAGAGTATCTTGCCCGCAAGGCAAAGCCTGGCAAGCTACCTGTGTTGTATTTGATATACCAAACACAGTAACAATGAGTCTCGCGATGGAGATGTTACTGGGCCTGCTCAAGCAAATCGATGAACAAAGAGAGGACAGTGACAGTGACAAAACTAAATATTTATTTTAGTGGTGGGATGGTACCATACCATAACCACCAACAACTCAATAGCATTCCACCACTGTACATTGGATCCCTCCACACATATGTGTATATATGTGTGTGTATATATATATATATATATATACACACATATATATGCACACATATGTGTGCATGTGAGTGTAGTCTGTGTTTTGGAATTCACTTGGTGTTTTTTGTACCTGTGATAGAGACCTTAGAGTGAAATTGCTGGGTCATATAATAATAATAATCTAATTTAATTTTTGGAGAACTAGCCATTGTTTTACATAGAAGCTGAATCAGTTTACATTCATATCAACAGTGTAGGAGGGTTTCCTTTGACTCCATCTTTGTGAACACATACTGTTTCTGGTCTTTATAATCTAGAATATTCTCCTGGTGTGAGATATGTCATTATAGTCTTTTTGTTTTGTGAGTTGCAAGGGGATAGTTGGGACCACACATAGCTATATTGTGGAATCACTCCTGATGGTGCTTGGGAGACCCATTAATGGGGTATTACAAAACCAGCTGTATTTGACTGAGGACAAGGAATGCACCTTAAGATCCATACTATGTCTGTAGTCCTCATACTTGTTTTTACTTGTATTTCTCTAATAATTAGTAATGATAATTTTTTTCTTGTGATTTTTGGTCACCTGTACAACTTCCATCTTTCTGCTTTCCTCTTTATATTTGATGGAAATGTTTGGTGTTCCATTTTGTGAGTTCTTTATATGTGTTGGGTATTAGTCTTTCTATGGTATGAAAACACTTCTTTTTATTTTATGTATTTATTTTTTGGATTTGGGGCCACACCCAGCAAGGCTTAGGGGATACTTCTAGCTCTGCACTCATAAATTACTTCTTGTGGTGCTCAAGGAACCACATAGGATGCTAGGGATCAAACCTGGGTCAGCTATGTGCAAGGCAAGCAACTTACCCCAGTACTGTCTCTCTGGCCCCTTTTTTTGTTTTAAAATTTCTTTGCTATGCAGAAACTTTTTTGATGTGATCCCATTTACTTTTGCTTTTTTTTTCCATGTCAACAGATTCAAATCACCAAGTACACTACTGAAATCTATATCATTAAATGTTCCGCTTATGTTCTTCAATGTACTTTATGAATTTGTATCTAATTTCTAAGTCTCTATTCCATTTTGAGTTAAGTGGGATTTTTTTGCTTTTGGTCACACCCAGCAATGCACGAGTGTTACTCCTGGCTCTATACTCAGGAATTACTCCTGGCGGTGCTCAGGGGACCATATGGGATGCTGGGAATCAAACCCGGGTCAGATGCATGCAAGGCAAATGCCCTACCCACTGTGCTATCACTCCAGCCTCTTGAGTTAACTTTTATGCCTGTTGTGAGGTCCTGGTTCATTTTCATTCTTTTGTATGCAGCTATTCAGTTTTACCAACATCAGTTATTGAAGAGATTCCTTTCTTCATTGATTTGTTCATGCTACTTCTTAATATCAGAATATCGTCAATATCACCATAAATTAAAAACTAGATGTTTCCATTTTCCTGATCTGCATATACAAGCACAGATTTTTTTAACAGATGATCTGGATTAGGATCCTCCCCACAAAAACCTACTCTTTGATTTTGGTTGTGATGTCTGTTAAATCCCCTTTCTCTTTTTTGTTTCTGTCCATTTATTTGTTGGAGAATGTGACTTCCATTTATGCCATAATCTAAATTCAACATTACCTCCTTCTATCTAGTCACAGTGTGTCACAGGACTGCATCCTTCTTCTTCAAAGCAGTACCATCCTCCCAATGTTCATATACATTACTTTTTTTAAACTCCTGTCCTTACAGTATTAAATATCAGATACTCAGTTTAGAAAATCTTCCAATAAGGTGACCTACAATTGACAGTTCTAAACATACTTATTGCATTTCTTCTGCCATTTTTGTGATGCAAAATTAAAGAATTGTCCAGAATTAATACTGGTCATTTATCTGGGTTGCTTCAAGAATGGATTTTATATAACAGACTTCATCCCTAAGTGCCAAAGAGCGGGATGATACCAGAGTTCAGATTCACATGGGGTTGTTTTGGCTATACTGAGATTTAGATGGAAATTTCCCACAGATTTATCAGATCCAGGTGCTGGGCAGCTGCTAATTTTCATAATTTTCATGAAGAGCTGGTGGCAAAATTTGGAATGCCCATTCACAAGTCTTTTCATGTTGTTCTGTGAGAAAGAACACAGAGAGAACATGCAAAAGGCATATGTCCTCCCAATAATACCCTGTTTCTTTATGTCAAAGGCAATTCTGAAAAATGACAGTGTAGCATACTAATAAAAATTTGGACTTTGACCCTAGCTCCATTTTTAAACCTTTCTATATCCTTGTGCTTCTTTCTGTGCCTTAGTAGAACATCATCAGCCTACTGGCTGCGGTTTAAGTTGAAAACTGGAAGAAGTTTGTGAGCCATTAACCAGAACTATTGAAAACTTCAGGTGGAAGATTCCCAGCTGCTAAGATAAATTTGAGCTGACATTGAAGATTTTTATACCCTAAAATATTGATTTAATCATGCAGTATGTGATAGATAGCCCTTAACTCTCTCTTTCTCTCTCTACGGAACTAATTAGCAGAGTTAAGAAAGTGGAGGTGATGGGAACATTCCAGAACTCCCCGTCTATGAGGGAGTCAGTAAAGAGCACATCACTTTCTACATTGCTTCATAGAACATCCTCCTCCTATTCATTGCAGTTCTTCATTGCACACACAGATAACTGAATTGTTAATTCAGGCTTTCTTTTTCCTCCTCCTTTCAGGATTACGTATCATAAATGAACAGCTGCTCATTTCAGGAATGTGGCAATGCTAATGCTTCTCTATGATGCAGTTGGACTGTTATAACACAGTTTTGTTAAAGTAGTTACTGGGCCATTTTGTTATGTCCTTAGGTAGAGAAATGAAACAGCTCCTTAACCATCCATAGCTCCTGGATCCAAGGAACAAAATAAGAAATGCTCAAGAACTTTAAGCATGTCATAAGCAAATAAAACCCTTTTAATTCTGAGCCATCATATTTATACTCCAGATACAATCAAAACACCCAGCTGCATTTAAAGGTTCTCCCATGCCATATTTCAGGCCAATACTTTAGGCAGACTACATTGACAAATGTCTTACTTCATACTAATGTTAATTAAGGAAATTAGTTCTTGATCATGTAGCAGACTGTTATATGTGAATGAAATATTGCTTACATAACTTTTAATTTCAAGTACAGAGAAGAGATAATCATTCAGATCTCTGCTTTAATATCCATGAATCCATTAATACGATTCACATTCTAAAATACAGTGAGTAGACAATGTTAGGGATACTAGATTTTCAAGCCAAACTCTCTAAGCCCCACTTAACCAAGTATATATTTTTCCCAAATTTTATTTTCTTTTATAAATTTGTTCACAATAATTCATTAAATTAATATGCAAACACCAACCCCACCCTTAACTCTCTCACCTTAACAATCACCATATATTGATTGTTTCTACCCCAATCCCAAATTATGCCCCCCCCCAAAGCAGAACAAAACAATTAGTTTTGTACTGCTTGTTAAGAATAATCTGCTAAAAATGATCCAATAAAGTTTCCTTAGAGGAAAGTGTATGAAGATCTTTATATATCATCCTGAAGTCATTAAGCCCTTGTATAAGAAATTACAAATGTTTGTTAAACCCAATCAAATGTTGTGTGCTACTCTTGGTACATCAGTGGTATAGAGTATGAGAGGTCCAGAAATTCTAAAATTTAGAATAAGATTATAGAGCACATTCACTCATGGATGAGGCCTATGTTGTCTCTTCTGGGAGCTTTATTTCTGAGGCTCTGGATCATGGTTATTGATGAGGTTATATGGTGCCAGGGGCAATTTGTGGGTGTGACTGCCAAGCTACTGGTAAACTTAGGAGTTGGGGGTAGGAAGGAGTTCCATTCCCACTTCGAGCAGTCTTGTAGATTTCAGTCACTGGTCCCGCTTACCTCATTTTTTTCTGCAGATTCCCTCCTAAGCCTATGGAGAGCGGCTGTGAGCATGGCGGTAGTTGGGTTCCCGAGGTTTTCAGCTACCGGGGTTCTGCTGGGGCGGGGAAGGAAACTCAACCCAACTCCTCCGAGTTTCCCCAGTGAAGACAGCCTGGTGCAGAGTCTGAATGTTCTATGTTACTCTCTTCAGGAGCTTTATTTCTGAGTCTCTGGATCATGGCCAAAACCCAAGTACATATTAATGCTTACTTCAACCCTAAATAGCATAAGTTTTTCTATATTGAAGGCTAACATGCTCACCAAGCTTAAGAACAGTATTTGCATGTGACCTGGTCTCTTTGTTACGGGTGAAGAGGCCTTTTTCTCCCATATTGTCTCCTGCAACCTATGTTCATTTCATGGGTATTTAATAGCACACTTATAAAATACTGGACAAGCGCAGTATTAGACATGTACTAGTTTATAAAGTCAACCATGCTAGCTGGGTGAATCACTTACAGATTTTAAACATAATTCATTAGGCACTTGGGTGATTACATGGATCTATATTGAAATTCAATGTCCTGGTAAGAACTCCTTCCCAAAATAGTTATTCATTTTCCGAGATCTAATGCTTTGGCTGATGTTAGTTTGAATTTCTTTTTAATGTATGAATATATGTGGCTTATCACTTTGTTCTTTTCCAAATAAACCAATTATGACTCCTTGGCATTTATTGCAGATGAACAAGAAAGTTCTGGAGCAATTATTTACACCGTGGAGCTTAAGCGCTATGGCGGCCCCCTAGGCATCACAATTTCAGGAACTGAAGAGCCGTTTGATCCTATAATCATTTCAAGTCTCACTAAAGGGGGATTAGCTGAAAGGTAAAAGTTGAAGGCAGTGCTACAATTCCCTGTGTCTGAGATGGGCTTCCTTCCCCTGCGGCCGCATAAAAACAGGCTTCCCTCTCCTGCTTGGTTATCTGTTGACGTTCAAATCTGCACAAAGGATTGATTTTTGAGCTTGAGAACTCTCAGGCAAAACTCCAATGACTTTGAAGGGCATCTCACAGGCTGTTAAAGATGTCATGAGCTTAACATTGAGATTCGTCTCCAGAAATGTGTAAACTGACTACAGTCGACTAGAGGTAGATTTATATGTTATCTATTTTCAGAGGAGGAGACTAAGGTTCAGGGAGATTAAAAGACTTGTCTAGTACAATTCACAGTTACAGATCTTCTATTACCTGACAGATGCTGGGCTTAGCTATTATGTTTTTGGAAGAATATAAAACTGACTTTATCTTCATGAAACAAATAAATGAACCATCTAAGTTATATCCTGTTATTTTGGGCACTCATTTGGTTTTTAGGTATTATTATTATTATTATTATTATTATTATTATTATTATTATTATTATTTTGGAGTGGAGCACACCCTGCAGTGCTCAGGACTTATTTCTGGCTCTGCACTCAGTGATCACTTCTGGCTCTGCCCAGAGGACTATATGGAGTGCCAGAGATCAAACCCTGGTCAGCTGTGGGCAAGGCAAGCATCCTGCCCACTGTGTTATCTCTCTGGCCCCAGGGGGCACTCATATGTTTCTTTGACTTGTTTCTGTTTTCATATACACCTTCCTGTTTACCCTTTGTTAAACTGCACTTCTTTCTTCCTTTTGTTTTTTTTTTGGTTTTGGGGCCACTTCCAGCTGTGCTCTGGGCTAATTCCTGATTCTGAATTTAGGGATCACTCCTACAGTTCCAGGGGTAGAACCCGGGTCAACTGTGTGCAAGGCAAGCACCCTACCTGCTGTACTGTTTCTCTGGTCCAAAGAATTGAGTTTTATACCATCCTGGAGGTGTCCTACTATGCTGTTATGCTGTTCATCCTCCCCACCCCCAAGACCCCCCTCAATGCCTCCAAATATATATGATGAATATCCAAATTACAAATTACAAACTGCTCACTCAGAATTGGATGAGAAAAGAAGAGATGGGGAAGTATCAAAGGTCTGTCAGTTTAATGGTAAAGAAATTTTCTTCTTTCCACATTTTAAACTGCATCTTAAACTCCTTATATGTTTCCTATTTAATCCGCAAGACCTCTTTGTGAGATGATTACTCTCATGGCAATGCTGAGGAAACTCACTCACAGAGAGGTAAAATATAAGGTTTGCAGGTCACACAGCTGGTAGGCAGTAGAGTTGGATTCAGACATCTTCTTATTGATTCCTAAGGATAACCTTTTCAGTCCTTGGAATCATCAGCTGGGAAGTTAGCATATAGGTCACACAGAGATCTCAGGCATATTCCCTTCTTTCTGAACCTCACCTATGGAGAACTGGGGTATTGGTTGTATCTATTGATTTGAATCTGTCCCAAGAAGGGTTGCTCCATTGCAAACAGCAGCACATGTATCTTCCAACACTGTTTTTTGCCTTCAGATTTTTAAGGAGTAACCAAATGACTCCGCTGTCTTGGAACTTACAAAGCACAGAAGTCCATTTTAATTAAAACAATTTTTCTAATATTATTTGAAATGGAAAAAGTAATTCACAACAGATGCCGTTAACTTGTAACATTGCCCAGGAGAAAGCTAGAAGTTGCTTCTGGATACCCTTGCCAAGTCTTCATTACTATGAATAAAGTCAGCTGGGGAATTTATAATTCAATGCAGGAATTCTTTCTACCTTTCCTATTATTGCTTGGTATTTCAGAACGGGTGCGATCCACATAGGAGACCGAATCCTTGCCATCAACAGCAGCAGCTTGAAAGGGAAGCCTCTGAGTGAAGCCATCCACTTGCTACAGATGGCAGGAGAGACTGTCACCTTGAAAATTAAGAAACAGACAGATGGTGAGTGGGTCGAGAGCCACAATTAAGGATTTCCAGTGCATTTCCTTCCCTGAAAGAATGTGCAAATGCCTGTGTGTATTTCGAGGAAAATGATGCCAACCAAGAAGTGTTTTGAGTAGCTCTTTTATCTGGAATGGGGTCCCCAACAGCAGTTCTTAGCCAACCAGGACAGGAACCCTCTGGCTAGGGCCAGAGGATGCCAAGCTAACCCAGGCCACTATAGTGGTGCTTGAGGGGAAGGGGTCTTCAGGGCCATATCCGGTGATGGTTGGGACCTCCAGGGGTGCATCTGAAGATGTTAATGAGACTATGTAGTGCTGGGGATTAAACGTGGGTCAGGAGCATGCCTCTCAATATTGTCTCCCAACTCCTAAGTATACTTTTGTTTCCATTTACTGATACTTACACTCCTTTCCTGACTTTAAAGCCCAGTCAGCATCAAGTCCCAAGAAATTTCCCATCCCCAGCCACCTGAGTGACCTGGGAGATGTAGAGGAGGACTCCTCCTCGTCTCAGAAGACGGGCAAGCTCACCGACATGTACCCATCCACCGTGCCCAGTGTGGACAGTGCCGTGGACTCGTGGGATGGCTCCGGAATCGATACAAACTATGGGAATCAAGGTATGTCCTAGCCCCAAGGAACGGAGGACTTGGCATTGCTGAAGTTCAGGTTTTTTAAAGATCTACCCTCTCCATGAAAATAAAATTTTAAAAACTCACTGCATTGTGTCTGCATCAGTACAGCCTTATTAAACACAGTTGTCCTGGTGACCTTACTATTCCTCCTCCTTCCTGAAGCTAAGTCACAAATGTTTCTCAAACACTAGCCAGCCCCTGTTTGATCAACTGGTGTTCCAGTGTTCAATCTGGAGCTTCTCCTTCAAGTTTAGATTAATAGGAAACAAACCGTATATAAAAGTGGTTTGCTGAAGACAAGTCCCATTGTTTGCTTTTCACTGATGACAGGACCTGTTGTTTCACAAGGTTTCCACCAAGATGGATTGGGTAGTGCTGGTGATGCTTTAAGGAGATCAGCCAATGATTTGTTGACTCCATTTATTGCTGCCTCCCTCTGACTTTTAATGGAAACTTTTAAGTAGAGGCTTCCCTGAATACTCATCATTAGTAGAAAGTAGCAGTCACAATATAAAAAAAACATATGTTAGCATCATTTTCATGTGAAGTGGGATAACCCACATTAAAATCTAGTGTCATCAACAATATAAACACATGAAAAGTATTAGATTGAATACTGAATACAAACATTTAAATTGTCTCTTTAAAAAATCTGTTTCCTGAGCTGGAGAGATAGCAGGGCGTTTGTCTTACACACTCTGACCTGGGTTCAATCCCCAGCATCCCATACAGTTTTCTAAATACCGCCAGAGTAAGTCCTGAGTGCATAGCTAGCCAACCATGGGTGTGGTCCCAAAACAAAACAAAAATCTGTTTTCTCCCCACTGATACCCAACTTCACAACAAAGTGTCAGAAAGTCTCGCTTCACCTGACCTGAATTTTGTCTTCTCTCTTAATATCTTACATGTAGTCCAGTCTCTGAATTCCTTTTCTGAGGTTAAATCGGTGGGAGAGTGAAACACAACCTATAACAATTCCAGGAACACATGGTTTCACTGGGAGTATTGCTTTCTAACTTAGTTAATTACTTTCTAGGCCAGTCTGTATCAGGTTGGCTCTTTTCCTGGTTCTGTTAGTGCTTTCTCCAGTTTGCCTTTGTGTCGTTTTCTATGTTATTCCCTGAGGGTGGAGGAAAATGAAATGAAGAGACATTTCAAGGTTGTCAAGTCATTACTTGTTAAGAATGATATTAGAATTTTGATAGAAATATTTTGAACACCCAAAATAGGAGCTTTCATTTGCCTGGCAATTAATTTTTTCAAGTCAAAATACCATGTGACAAGTTATCTGTGCCACCAGATAACAGATATTTTCACTGCCTGCAAAGTGATGTGTTTTCTGGAGATACTTTAGACAAAGGACACAAGTCAAATTCTATCAAGTTAGATGCTTTATTAACATTTTTGTTTATTACTGTGGAGACTTTTATTACAAAATGATTGTGAAGAAGCTTTGTTTTATTGAGTTCTGCATATAAGGTGATGGATAAGTGCTTACTTAGCAAGTCTGTCTTTTTTCTAGTAGGCGCAATACCATATTAAATTAGGGTTCTTCATTTATTAATAAAACCATTTATTTATCAAAAAAATTGAAAATCTGAAGTCCTATAGACAGAAAATAGAAGCCATAATAATATAAAAGTCAGATTGGGGGGGGGGCTGCTTTGAGGTTACTGGCAGTGTGCAGAGATTTCAACTCAAGAATTACTCCAGTGCTCAGGGGATCATATAGGATGCTAGAGATCAAACCTGGGCCAGTCACATGCAAGGCAAGCACCCTACCCACTGTACTATCTCTCTGGCCCCATGAAGAAAGTTGGAGTTTGTAAATTAGAACACTTGCTGAGGTTGAAGAGAGATAGGAGTTAAGTAGAGAAATGGCAATCAGGATAGAATTGAAGTCCAAGGTGATGAAAAACTAGCCCAAATATCTTACATTTGTAAATCATTTGTCCTACGTGAAAGGACTTTGTAAACTGTTGGGTGGTTCACATTGTGAGTGTGGAGGACAGATGGCTAAGCTGACCGCAGAATTAGGGCATTAAGAGAGAGCCTGGAAGTCAGCTGCCCTGTGTCCAGTGTGGCACTGACCTGTGGGCTGCAGTGCTTCATTGACAGGTTGCTCCCTAATTTCTGAGGCAGTTCCCCCTGTCCACCTGCATTTCTCAGACAGCTGGAGTTCTCTGTGGTATTGAACTGCAGTCTGCTTGTCTGTCACTTCTGCCTCTTTGCCCTAGTTCTATCCTCAAGCTCATTGAGAACTAGTTGAAAGATTCCTCCTCTTGACAGCCCTTAAGATACACAAAGGCAGTGAGCATGACTGTCTTTGAATCTCTTCTTTCGCAAGCAAAATAGCTCTAGATCCACACATAACTTACTTTGGAGTGTATCATCCTGGGAGCCTCTCTTCTGAATAAGGTCAGGGGTAAGCCTGTACCTGATTAAAGTGGAACATTCAGGAAGGAAAGAGTCTGACAGCCCAGAGAAAATGCTGCCTGTCACCTTCATCAGTGAAGACAGTAGGACTACTGTTGCAGCCCAGCTCAGCATTCTAGTTGTGCACTCCCATTGTACCTGTCACTCATTTTGAGTTTATTGTTTACCAAGAACACAGTCTATTTGTTTTCTTTCATTTTTTGTCATATGAGTTGCCCCAGATTTCTCCGGATAGTGTTTGTGCCATTACTTTTAAAAATAAGACATATAGGGAGCAGAGTATAGCAGGCAGGCACACTGTTTCCTTGCATGCATCTGACCTGGTTTCAATCTCTATAAATCCAATGGTCCCTTGAGCCCTTCCAGAAGTGATCTCTGAGCTCAGAGTGAGGACTAAGCCCTGACCGCCACTAGATGTGGTCCCAGAACAAACCAAAAAAATCAATGGGGCCAGACCATTTGCCTTGCATGAAGTCGACCTGGGTTTGATCCGCAGCACCCCATACAGTCCCCTGAGCACCACCAGGAGTAATTCCTGAATACAGAGCCAGGAGTAATCCCTGAATACTGCTGGCTGGTGTGACCCCCCCCAAAAAAAAAATACCCCTCAAAATCAAGACATATAACTTTATTTCTTTTCCTATTGAATACCATGTTGGGAGATGTCGAGTCTCCCCACTAAACTGTCCCTCCAGCCTTTTGACAGCTCCCCTACCCTCTCCCGAAGCCCTCTCATATTTCCCATGATGCCACTAAGTCTATATGTCTTTATTTTAGTAGATTTGCATTTCCGTAAGGTGGCTTAGGAGTCAGCGTCTGCAACCACATTCCTTCCTGTTCTCTGCTTCCAATCCCATTCACTTATTCACAGATACCTGATGCTGGGTACGTCATAAGACCAGTGTACAGTAGCTATTCACTGATGTATCAAAGAGATAGGAACCTTGTTCTTATGGAGAAGAATACCCAGATTAAGGTCAGACAGTTAACAAGTACCAGTATTTTGAAGTATGTTAATGAAAAGGGAAGAAAGAGGAACTTAGGACTGAGTGGCCAAAGCTGAAATAGGAGGAACTAGATTGTGTTTGAAGAAGTCCACATTGGATAAGCTTCAATTCTATTGCATAGCTCTCTAGTTCTCAGATGCAGACTTCCACTGGTCTTCCATCTCCCATTTCCCAGACCCTTATCTTCATGCCCCCTGCTTGACCAGAATTTTAGATTTTGACTCTGTTGTGTCTTGCGATTTTTTTCCCCCATACCCAGAGATGCTCAAGGTAAGTGTCTGACCTCTTGGTTTGGTGCTAGGGAGTCACTCACAGTGGTGACAGAGAGAGAAAGCAGGTCTCCTGCATGTAAAGCATCTGCACCAGCTCTTTAAGCTGTGACCCCGGTCCTCTTGTGGAGTATTTATTCTTCCTTTCACTCTGAGAAATCCTATGATTGTTCTCTCCAGATTTGTCCAAGGATATTCAATGCAAGAGGAGACCAACATAGGGGCTAAAGCAATAGTACAGTGAGTAGAGCATTTGCCTTTACATAGCCAACCCGGGTTTGATGTCCTGAGTCACACATGGTACCCTGAGCAGCAGGAGTAATTCCTGAGTGCAGAACCAGGAGTAACCCCTGAGCTCTGCTAAGTGTGACCAAAACACAGAAAAGGAGGAGACTAACATATTGGTGAGAGTTGTAGCCTGTCATTCTCTATGATGGCACATCTGTTCATGTTGTCTTTCGCCCATCCCTCTGACTTTACCCTTATGCCAAGCTGGTCATGGAAGCTCCTGCCACCACCTAATCCACTCTAGTGCTCCAAAGAATTGTTTTTTCTCTTGCAATGGTCCCTGATTTGGAAGGTTGGACCCTCCCAGAAATCTCTATCCCTAGGTATCTTTCTCTTTTTGCCATCACCTGCAACTCTTTTTTTTTTACTTTCTTCAAAATTTAGTAGATTCATTTATTTGTAATGGTTTTAACTTTATTGAAGATGGAATTGCTTACTGTTATTTTCCATCCCTTTTCATTTGGAGGTGCTCTCTGGTAGATGATAAAATTACCTTTGCTCTGTCATTTTGTAACCTCAGGCTCATCCAAACACATTGAACAATTTTTGGCAAGGACAATTACAAATAGTTACACAAATACAGGATTTCATTTTTTTATTCTTAACAAAATTGGGTCTTTAGAAAGCAAATTTGGAAAGGAAAATTTCTGGCTCATGCTTGTACATTAAAATTGGCTTCAAAAATGAAAGCAATGGCAGGAACAGCAATCCTACAATTGCCATTGAAGATTGAATTTCCAAACCATTCTCTGATTTCAAAATTTGTATGAACCAATGTTGTTCAGTTTATGTTTCTAAATTAATCTTGAAGGTGAATTAAGGGCTACAAATAGAAGATATTAATCTGTAATATATTCCAGTGCCGAAAACAAAACAGTACAATAATAGAGTATTAGAATTTTACAAATATTTGAGGTTTCGTTATTGTAAAAATGAAAATCATTATACCAAGATCTCATCTGCTTTCAGAAGTGCCTACATTTGT